CCCCAAAACCCCAAAACCCCAAAACCCCAAAACCCCAAAACCCCAAAACCCCAAAACCCCACGGTGGGAGAATAATATTGAGACTTATTAAATGATTATTAAAAGTGGATTAACAAAGAGAGGGACTCTTTTTACTCCTACTCTTGTTTTTCCTGATCTTGAAAGTGCTCTGCTTCTTGGAACTTTTGGATGTACTATTACTTATTTCCTTAAAGGATTTTCTGAGGTTAATGTATTGCTTGGGGATTTCCTTGTTGCTCTCATCGATTTGTTCTAAAGATACTTCTCTTGATGAACTCAAGCTCTGGTGTTCACTAATCTCTTTAAGTTCTGCCTTGGATAATCCTGGCTTTAAAGTGGAGCTTCCTACAAAGTTCCTCAGATTAGAGGTGGAATAAGAATTCTTGTTCCCAAGACTTGCTCTCAAATTACTGTTTAATCCTTGGTTAAGAACATTTTTAGAATAGCGATGGTTCCTTTTAATCTTCAAAAAATTCTGATCTGAGGCCACAAAAGCCTTATTGCTAATTTTAGGTGGTGAGAAGGTAGTCTTGATTGAGAAAGATTTGTAGTCATTAAACTTAGGCATCTTTCTAGATTCTTTATTGTTTAAATCAGGTAGGAGCCTTCTACTAGTCTCCAAGGTGTCATTGGTCAAGAAATCTTTCATGGAAATCGTGTTAAAGGACTTCCTATTCATCGCCCCTCTTTTGGCTTTAAAGAACCAGTGATTGTTCAGATTTAGATATGATTTTTCATCATTTCGAGAGAATTCATTAGCGAAAAGGAATGTATCACCCAGAAGTTTAGACTTGGAAGAGGCGTGTTTAGAAGTCATATAGTTGCCTTTTTCCTTCCTCTGTCCGTTAGTTTGTGTATTTGAAGTATTCTCTATGTTAGCCAAACTATTTAGAGAGGATTTGAAATAACTTTGAGCTACTTTGGATGGATCCTATATTACCATGTTAATTATATTTGAAAATCCAGTGAACATCTTTAATTTTCAATGAAGAAAAATTTCAAAGAGAGATGAAGAAAAGTTAAACCAGTCGGTAAATTTCGAAAATGAGGTTTATGGCTCTTACCCATTTATTAAGGTTAGGGAGAGACGATTTTCTGTCTTTAAAATTTTCTCCACTCTTTCTTCCGCTTCTCTGACTCGTTCTTGATGAAGGCCGTAAACTCTTTTTAGCTGACTGTAAGATCTTCCGATTCTTTTTAATTTTGAGCTTCCTCTCTGTCTGGGGCTGCTTCTCTATACAAGATGGTAAGTACAAATGCAAAGAAATGGGTTGGCTTAGCCTTGTACCATTAATAAGAATGATGATTGATACTTAATGCTTGGATTCTTAGATAAGAAACTGGCATAAATTTCTGACTCACCTTCACATGCTGGAGATTTAAGTTCCTTTTTAGGAGTCTCTGAAACCTTCGAAATCTTAACTGAAGGTATGTTCTTCTTTCTGATGATGAAACTGGGTTTTATGATGTTCTTTGGCTTCCTCTGTGTTTGAGGAGCTTCGTTAAAATATTGGTCATCTTCTTTACACTCATTAATTTCTTCGAGTTCGTTTTTCAGATTTTTAGGAGAAAGATTCGAATCTGGTGTATCATCAACAGATTTATCTAATTGTTTGTTTTGTGGGATCTCAAGCTTCAAGTTCAAGGAGTTCAGACAGCTTGCTCTTCTGTTTTCAGGCATGAATGTGCTTAGTTTTGAAGAAGGAGACCTGCTCAAAGACTTTTTAGATTCTACAAAGAAGTTAGATTAGGAATATGTAATATTTAATCGTACCTTTGTCTAATATCCATTTAAAAGTTTGTCCAAGATTTTGTTTGATCTGAGCTTGCTGAGCTTCGTTGGGAATCAGTGGCGAAGGCTCAGAGATTGTATATTCAGAGTCTTGTGAGATGAAGCTTTGGCTAAGATTGTCTTGGAATTTTGTACTCTTGAACAAGGACTTTTGCTGGTTTATTCCTAACCACTTCATGATTAGTACCTTGGGGACGTTAAATTTGCTTTGGTACTCTTCAAGAGTCTTAGAGATATCTACTCTTTTGCCATCTTTGATGCTGTCGTTATATCATTGAATCAATGAGTTTTTGATATCTGATTCTGGATTAAGCTGATCTTGCTCTCCATTTTTAGTATTACTATTTTTCTCCATTACTAAAGAGTTCATATTAGGGATAAATTATTTTTATAAATTTGAAAATAAATTTTCCTTTTATCTGGGTGAAATTGATCACTAACAGAACCATGAGCTAGACATTCATTTTTGGAAGAAAATTTAGGAATTTTGATGAATGATATCAAATCAAGCTTCTTTGATTGAAAATTACATAATGTTGTAATTCTTTAATATTTTTCTCCATTTGCAAATATTTTAATGAAATGCAATACAAAAGCAAAATTAATCTGAGGTAATATAAAGATATGAACTATTTGTTATCAACCAAATGTGAAAAGTATTAAAAATCGATAGGATTCTCTACAAAAATTTAGTTGTTCTAATTATTTCATATTATGTTGAAGAGCATCCCGATCTAATATTCTAGGACGTTGATAGTACTACTGCTAATATAAATTAAAACTGGATACTGAATATTCCTACCAGTATAGAAGGCTAACATAACGCTTATCTTTTCCCTGCCTAAACAAGTCACTCTACTTCAAGCTCTTAATAAACCCCATTTTCCCTTCCAAAATTTTTCCTTCACAAATCCCCCTATTTCCTTCCTATCCCACTTCAGCTATCCCATCCTACTGAAATCCCAGTCTCTATCCCCACCCACCCCTTTTTCATGCCTACAGCCTTATGGCTCTTGGCTCTTTAAAAATTTTCCGGTTTGTGCATAACAACTGGTGGTTTTGTGGGCTAGGCTTTAAGGGAATGGGATTTTTCTTCTACCTCATCCTCAAAATTCTCCCTCTCCTGTCCAATTCTGGACTCGAATTCCACAGAGACTCAACTCGTAGCATAAACCTTACCTTTTTCCATTATGCGTGATTTATAATAAATTCTATTGAGAGTGACTGTTTGGGGTTTTGGGGTTTTGGGGTTTTGGGGTTTTGGGG